GGGTGTGGTGGTATGTTGTTTGTGTGGTGTGGTGGTATGTTGTTGGTGGGGTGGTATGGTGTATGCTGGGGTGGGGTGGTATGGTGTATGCTGGGGTGGGGTGGTATGTTGTTGGTAGGGTGTGGTGGTATTTTGTTGGCTGGGGTGCGGTGTGGCGGTATGCTGTTGGTGGGGTGTGGTGGTATAATGTTGTCTGGGATGCGGTGTGGCGGTATGGTGTTGGTTTTCATGTCCTATATTGGTGTCTTGCTAGCTGTGGCGTATTGGTGTCTGGCTAGCTGTAGTGTATTGGTGTCTGGCTAGCTGTGGTGTATTGTTGTCTAGCTAGCTGTGATGTATTAGGTGTCCCTAGTTGATTGGATAAATAGGTATCCGTATGATTTCTCGGATCAATCTCCAATCTGTCTGTTGGTGTTCATGGGACCTTTTTTCCCCATTCTTGTCATCTCATTCAGAAAATCGGGTTTGACTCTGGCTATAAAATGGTTCTTCGGGGCTTTCTCTTTACTTTTGTATGAGATATAAGCCACTTATGATGGAACGGAGTGGTCGAACGGTAGAGCGTTTGGCTTCTAGTTCGGATCCCGTTTTGGACTTGTAACTCTAAGACGTATCTGAGTCTACCCAGCTCTAATGGGTACCTGATCTAAGGAGAGTAAAAGCGGCCTGGCAAAGTGCTGACCACATTAGCCCTTAAAATGCCGAGGTCAAGAAACGTGACCTCTGCTTCATCTGCCCAATAGATCGCTAGGTCTGAAGAGGAATCTTTACTTTACTTTTTCTGGGCCACTTAACTATAACTCTCCAGAGTTATCTGTCCTTGGAAGTTATCTCCTACTGACTCCATCAGTAACCCCTGCTGACGTGTGACGTCATGTTTCCTACCTACCTTGATCCGTCTATTTTTACATGCAGTCACTTGTGAAAGGTTACATACACGGCGCCCTAACTACACCACGGTGCCCCAACGACACCACGGCGCCCCAACGACACCACGGCGCCCTAACGACACCACGGCGCACTAACTACATTAAAGGCGACCTAACTACACCAAGGCGCCCTAACTACACTAAGACGCCCTAACTACACCAATTCGCCCTAACTACACCAAGGCGCCCTAACTACACTAAGACGCCCTAACTACACCAATTCGCCCTAACTACACCACGGCGCCCTAACTACACCACGGCGCCCTAACTACACCACGGCGCCCTAACTACACCACGGCGCCCTAACTACACCACGGCGCCCTAACTACACCACGGCGCCCTAACTACACCACGGCGCCTTAACTACACCACGGCGCCTTAAATACACTACGGCGCCCTAACTACACCACGGCGCCCTAACTACACCAAGGCGCCCTAACTACACCACGGCGCCCTAGCTACACCACGGCGCCCTAACCACACCGCCACTTCAAACACTCGAACATTTAACCCTTCCCCATCCAAATAAACACGCCCTCTGTAATAAAAAAAAAAATATCGCATCGTTCTTTACAAAAACAAATTCCGCTCTGACAGAACACATCGGAAAACGGAAGATTTTTGTTGGAATTCTTTTTTCGCACGATAGCGAGGCTACACGGAATGGACAAGCATGTGACGTTGTGAACATTTGGGGGGAGGGAGATTTTAATGAGCGGGGTAATTAAGGCCATTACAACAAAAGTAGAATAATTAGCTGGGAGGGGATTGAGGAGTGTGAGGGTAGAAAGGGGTTGGGGGAGGGGGAGGGGCGCTGGTTTGTGATAGTTATATTTTCTTAACTTTGTTATGACGGAGAATCACTTTTATTCTAAAACCAATGTATATCATATAACACGTGCACACTCACATTAAAGTCATAGCTCTTACACTTGCTTGTTGTTAATTAAATTTACATTTACATTACAGTAACCATTACTTCTTGTAAGAGTTATACAAGATCGTCAAAAAAAAAAAAGAAAATCTGAAAACGATTTTGTTTTCCATTATTTTAAATTTAGATTTAGCCAATTTCAAAAATCGTGTTTTCTCTGTCAAATCCCCTTCAATTTATTGCGAACAGTTTTGTTCTGACGTCATCGTCGTGTCGTGTGGTAGCCATTTTTGTCCCGCCCCCTTCACCCTCCTCCCCCATCATACTTCCGCGTCACGATTAAAAAAGTGAATCTCCCCAAAGGTCAACTGGAGGGGAGACTACTACACGCCAATAACCTCGCGATTTCCTCGAACTTGCAAGCCGTATTTCTCAAAGGTGAAATTTATTTCCTGAGCCGAAAGGATTGTCAATACAAACAGGGGCGGCCACTCCATATGACGGGCTGTTTTCCCACACGTAACAAGGTTTATTTCTGATAAAAAAAAATAAACGCGTCCATTCAAAGAAATAAATGATTACTACAGCTTTTGTTATTATATTTATTTGTCTTTGTCTTCTTCATAAAAAAATACTCTCACAGTTGTTACGATAATGCATGCTAGATTTAATAATAGTTATAATTATTAATCAACTAATTGCCATGAAATTTTATTTTGTCAATTGTTGGCGAATCTATAAGTTGGAGTTTTTTTGAAGATCAAACTACTGAAGGGGTTTTAAATTGCATTCCGCTTATTAAAGCATGGATTCGTGTTTCCTTTGATAGTTAATATAACACGTTTATAGTTTCAGACACTTGGACTATTAGATTTGGGCTGCATTTGCAGACTTACAATTTCATGCAGTTAAAAAAAAAAACAAGTTTTTCTCAGACATTTTCCTCCGGGGGGGGGGGGGGGGAGGAGGTGGGGGTAGGGGGCAATTGAAACTATAGGGACAGGGGGCTGACTTAAATTCCGAGGTTCAAAGGCGTGGATGACGACGACACTATATATTTTCTGTATAAATTTTATTTCGTTGTATTGGAGTCTTGTTAGACGTCGTAAATGTGCTTTGGGGAGAGGGCACTGACCTACCCCCTACCCCCTCCCCCCCTCCCCAAGAGATGCTTGAAAGAAACTTTGTACCAGTTAAGGTTTCATAAAGTTCAAAAGTAAACAACAACTCTTAATTTCTCTTGTCAGCTGTAGCAGGATACAACATTAAAGGACGTACACAATGTCTCTACACTTTGATCAGCTTCAGAACCTGCCATTAAAGTGCGCTTTTGCCTCATAGGTGAGTTACGGGCTAAACAATACATTTATTGAGACCACTGTAGGACTGCTGTACTCTTAACATTGCTGCTTTGCATGAGTAGGTTTTACTGTAGACTTTTTAGATAAAGTTTCGCCATGAACATGATACAACAAACAGACTTTGTCATTTTGTTTTGTGATTATTTTGTTTTACCCTGACCATATACGTGGTCGGCAGTTTACCTGCATGATAAACTACCTGTAACAAACTTGAAATAAATAAACTTTCATCGCAAAAATCTTTTCTGTTTATATGCTTCTATTTTAATTTTGACTTATTCGTCTTAGTGATATCTAAGCTTACCCCCCCCCCCCCCGCACCAGTTACAAAGACTAATAAAGGACACAGTCCTTCAAACTGACCTACAGACGTCCTTCAAGATGACGTACACACATCCTTCAAGCTGACGTACACACGTCCTTCAAGATGACGTACACACATCCTTCAAGCTGACGTACGTCCTTCAAGCTGACGTACAGACGTCCTTCAAACTGACCTACAGACGTCCTTCAAGATGACGTACACACATCCTTCAAGCTGACGTACACACGTCCTTCAAGTTGACGTACACACGTCCTTCAAGCTGACGTACGTCCTTCAAGCTGACGTACAGACATCCTTCAAACTGACTTACAGACGTCCTTCAAGCTGACGTACTCACGTCCTACTTCAAGCTGACGTACACACGTCCTTCAAGCTGACGTACACACGTCCTTCAAGCTGACGTACAGACGTCCTTCAAGCTGACGTACAGACGTCCTTCAAGCTAACGTACACACGTCCTTCAAGCTGACGTACAGACGTCCTTCAAGCTGACGTACACACGTCCTTCAAGATAACGTACACACATCCTTCAAGCTGACGTACACACGTCCTTCAAGTTGACGTACACACGTCCTTCAAGCTGACGTACGTCCTTCAAGCTGACGTACAGACATCCTTCAAACTGACTTACAGACGTCCTTCAAGCTGACGTACTCACGTCCTCCTTCAAGCTGACGTACAGACGTCCTTCAAGCTGACGTACACACGTCCTTCAAGCTGACGTACAGACGTCCTTCAAGCTGACGTACACACGTCCTTCAAGCTGACGTACAGACGTCCTTCAAACTGACCTACAGACGTCCTTCAAACTGACCTACAGACGTCCTTCAAACTGACGTACACACGTCCTTCAAGCTGACGTACAGACGTCCTTCAAACTGACCTACAGACGTCCTTCAAGCTGTCGTACAGACGTCCTTCAAACTGTCGTACAGACGTCCTTCAAGCTGACGTACAGACGTCCTTTAAACTGACGTACAGACGTCCTTCAAACTGACGTACAGACGTCCTTCAAACTGACCTACAGACGTCCTTCAAACTGACCTACAGACGTCCTTCAAGCTGTCGTACAGACGTCCTTCAAACTGACGTACACACGTTCTTCAAGCTGACCTATAGACGACCTTCAAGCTGACCTATACACGTCCTTCAAGCTGACCTATACACGTCCTACAAGCTGACGTACGTCCTTCAAGCTGACATACACACGTCCTTCAAGATGACATTCACACGTCTTTCAAGCTGACGTTTTCACGTCCTCCTTCAAGCTGACGTACACACGTCCTTCAAGCTGACGTACAAACGTCCTTCAAGCTGACGTACTCACGTCTTTCAAGCTGACGTACTCACGTCCTTCAAGCTGACCTACACACGTCCTTCAAGCTGATGTACAGACGTCCTTCTAACTGACGTACAGACGTCCTTCACGCTGACGTACTCACGTCCTTCAAGCTGACGTACACACGTCCTTCAAGCTGACGTACACACGTCCTTCACGCTGACCTACTCACCCTGTAAACCGTCTGAGGTGTGACCAGCAGCTCCACCTGACCGGAAGTCAATTTGTCCACGTCGACCAGCCGGATGGAGGCCACGCCCACAAGATGGCGCCGGCTGACATGGTGGGAGGAGTAGACCTGGAACTCCAGGGCGCCATCCTCACTCTCCTCCCCGCCGCCCGTGGGGAGGTCTTTGATGACAAACTTCTCCAGGAACAGGGGGTCCTAGGGTAAGGGAAGAAGTGATGTTTTTTTACACATGTGAATCGATATGTGGCATAGAGTTATTGGTTAAAATATCAGGGAGAACGTAACGGTGGGGGAGATATGTGTGTTATGTCCCAATTATGTTCTGTTTTTTTATAACATTGTCTCATAACAAAATGTTTTAGTATCTATAGGCTGCGATGACCTGACATAACCTAATTCCAATAGGTAAAATAATTGACCTACTTATCCCTGATAATCTCACTTGAGGTACTTAACCTAATTACCTCAAACAACCTTCTTACCTAGAGTGACCTTCTTACACAATATAACCTCACGTGCGCTACTTTTCCTAGATAATCCCGCGTGACCTACTTATCGTAGATAATCCCGCGTGACCTACTTACCCTAGATAATCCCGCGTGACCTACTTATCCAAGACAATCCCACATAATCTACTTACCCTAGTATTCCTTAAAGTCTTGGTCCTGTACTTGAAGGTCCGCCCAGGGACCAGGAAAGCCTTGACGTAAGGGTTGACCTCTACGTCTTTTGGGACGCCTGGGATAATCAGACCTTGAGCCTGCGAGACATACATCTTAACTAGGTCAATAGGTCAACGTAATTTCGACTGATTGCAACCGATTCTGATTGTTCCGGTGTCACTTGTGTGACCTGTAGATCTATGTAGGTTTTTAAAAAGTAAAGTGGACTCTCTTTTTAAAAAAATCGCTGTTTGGAGATCACAGACGATAAAACTAAAATGGGTTTAGTGCCATAGTTGGCTCTTAACGCTAATCATCCACAGATGGTATCGCCACCTTTCTGCTGGACACATCAGCAACCTTTTAACCACGGTTATGTGGTGGGGATTTTGTTTGTTTGTCCCCCCCCCACACACACAAACAAACTGGGGGTTCTTGTTGTACGTTAGGTATAAGCTACTCCACATTGTACTGGTATTACGAATACAAGATTTGTAACTGAACGCATTCATTTTTAAAAATTGATCTATTTATGATTTCTTGTCCATTTTGTTTATTTTGTTTCGAGCTACCTGCATTTTCAACTTAAATCACATAAATAAGTAAATATAAATATATATAGTATATATAGTATATATATGTATTTTTATATATATATATATATATATATATATATATATATATATATATATATATATATACATGTATATATATATATATATATATATATATACATGTATTTATATAAATATATATAGTACATATATGTATATATATATATATACATAAAGTATATATATATATATATATACATGTATATATATACATGTATATATATATAAATATATATAGTACATATATGTATTAATACTAATAGTTTCGCTGTCTGTGTATGTGACAAGAACGCTCCGTCTGACAAGAACGCTCTAGAGAAAACACAAGGAAATTAAAAACATGCATAGTATTTCGAAAAACGAAGTATGACGTCGACACATTTAGCAAAGAGTAGAAAATAATCTCAATCCGGAGAGTGCACACAGTAATATGACGTCATTGATTATCGAGTAAACATTGAATAAAAAGGAAATTTTGTCTTATCTAAGTGGTTTGCGTGAAGAGTTTCTTTCATACAATTCTTCGGGTAGGGGCGTAGCCCCACCCCCGCGTAAGAACGTCTGAGCCCCCCCGCCCCCATCCCTAACTCAAAAGAAATTTCTTTATCGATACTCTATAATAAAATTACCGCCTAATTAATGTGTCTAATCTAAAAAGTGGTTTTCTTGCAATTTCTTTAATGCAATTCTTCGGGTAGTGGCTAAGCGCGACACCAGTGTTTCTTTCAGACTTTTTCCTCCCCGGAGAGGGGTGGAAGTACTTGAAATTTTCGGGGGCGGGGTAGAAATTTCTGGGAGGGGGCGGACACTGGAAAAAGTATATAATTATATTTCGTTGAATGGGACGGTAAACATGTTTTTTTTTTGGGGGGGGGGGGGGGGGTTGGAGGGGTGGGGGGGGGCGATGTGTGGGGGGGTGGCGTGTGTAGGGGGGTGGGGGGTGTGTGGGGGTGGGGTTGGTGGTGTGTGGGGGTGGGGTTGGTGGGGGTGGGGGTGGTGTGTGGGGGGGGGGGGTGGGTTGGTTTCAGTGTTTCTTTCAGACTTTTTCCTCCCCGGAGAGGGGTGGAAGTACTTGAAATTTTCGGGGGCGGGGGTAGAATTTTCTGGGATGGGGCGGACACTGGAAAAAGTATATAATTATATTTCGTTGAATGGGACGGTAGACATGTTTTTTTTTGGGGGGGGGGTGGAGGGTTGGGGGGGTGGGGGGGGGGGCGGTGTGTAGGGGGGTGGGGGGTGTGGGGGGTGGGGGTGGGGGTGGGGGTGGTGTGTGTGGGGGGGTGGGTTGGTTTTAGTTTAGAGAAAAGAGACAGCACTATCAGCCTAGCGCCCGTTGTACCCTTCCTCAACGGGCCATTTTTCTCGTATATATATATATATATATATATATATATATATATATATATATATATATATATATATATATATATATATATATATATATATATATATATATGTGACCTAGGCTACTCGCAGCGCCAAATTGTGACCCTGCTCGCAGCGCCAATTGTGACGAGCGAACATTTATCCTGCCGACAACGCCAATTGTAACGAGCCAACAGTTACCATGCTCGCAACGCCACATGTAATGAGACCTAATTGCCTGTAGTGCCACGTGTTAACGAGTTTAACCACTCATTCTAGACAACATTGACCACAGTATAGATACTCAAGATGCAGGTTCGCTATTGATCCTTTATTACATGAATCAAGAAATGCTTCATAATAACACAATAAATCAACAGGAATGCTTCTCAATAATAGTCTGAATCAACTGACCCCTAACAGTCCTTCACTAGGCTTTATATAACTGAATCCACATGTCTATAATCCTTCTTAACACAATACGGCTAACCCGTTCTATAACCGACTTGACATAGTCACACAGACTGACTGATTTAAGCGAGCGATGAAGATGGAAGAGAGCTCGCTGAAACGGGAAGAGAGAGAGCGAGTCCTGCCGTGCCCTCCTATTTATGCCTTGTATCCGTACTCGTCTCCGTACTTGTATTCCTCCGTAATCGATACTTGTACTCGATCTCCGACCACCAGTTGCGTAGTTCAAACGTACAGACCGTAAAATAACATCTGCGTCCTATCCATCAAAGTTGACAGGCCGTCTGAATACCGTTTCCCAAAATAGCACGCGCCGGCTTTGAGGTTGTTATCAGCCCGACCCAATAAGCCACCTGCTATCGGTTGCGTCAGACTAACACTGTGTCTCGGCCTCTCGTTCGTTATCATTTGTAACTGGTAGTTAGGCCTACCCCAGTTACATCCACCCCTGCTTTTTTTGTGTGTTTTCAACCACAAACAACGCCTGGCAGGTGCACTACTCCAAAGTCAATCGCACAGTCGTAAAAAAAAAATCTATTGTTCCACTCACTGTCCACGACGTTCCATTCGTATACGATTGACAGTTCTACCTATTTCACATATCAACTGTGTCTACATCATCTTCCTGAGACACAAAACAGTTCTAGAATTCACATCCACCCTTTCCATTTGGTGCCTTCACCAGTTCACTTCTATAGCTCTTTGAACAGTCTGTTTTCATACCAGCGCGACCATGAAAGAATTGATGGTTGCTGACAAAAAATTTCGTATTCCTTCTGTTCCTTAAACTTCTCCGCGGACCACTTATCTGATGGTCTACTGTCTCTCTGCTTCTGGAGGGACCGGGATCCTCATTGTTGCCGGTATCCTCCCCTTGCGTATCGCTGTTGTTCTGTTGATGGTGATATGGTTCCGGAATGGGTATGTGAATTTCCGTTATAACTTCCGGTTCCCTAATTGTCTTGGGTTTCTCTGTGTGTAACTGCTCTTCTTGCCTATTCCAATATTTCTTTAATTGAGCAATATTCGCCCACCGATCCGGTTTGGCGTGATCGATGGGTCTTATCTTAAAGGGGCCACCTACTGCTTTAGGCATCTCCACGACTTGCCATATCTCCTGTCCCCAGAGATCGTGGATTTTGTTTCTGCCTAACGGGTGGCTACGCAGTAATACCCTGTCATTCAGTTTGAGTGGCGGGTCCTTCGTCTGTATCGGCGGTTCCCTTCGCCGAGATTCATGTTCTAGTCTTTCCTGTACTACCCTGTACATTTCTCTAATTCTTCTCATATGTTCATTCACATATTCCAGTGCGGTGTATGAGCCAGTCATACTCTCCCTTTTTCCTAGGAACAAATCAAGAGGGAGTCGAGCCTCTCGTCCGAACAGCAACATGTATGGCGTAAAGCCGGTTGTGGCATGGGGTGTGCAGTTGTATAGATATACCAACTCTGGGAGAAAATCAGGCCAACGTTTTTTCTGTTCAGGTTCTAGCGTACGCAGCAAATCATGCATGCTGCGGTTGAACCGTTCACACTGTCCGTTTCCCTTCGGATTAAATGTGGTTGTTCTAGATTTGTTGATCCCGTAGTGGTTGCACAGTTGGTTAATTACTTCTGACTCGAAAGCCCTTCCTTGGTCAGAGTGTAATTGTCTTGGTATGCCATATTTGATGAACCAATGTTGTAATAAGACCTTTGCCACTGTTTTGGCGGTCTGATCTCGCGTGGGCACCGCCACCGTCCATTTGGTGAATACATCAGTCATTACCAACACATGTTCCGTCCCATCCGATGATTGCTCCAACGACGTAAAGTCCATAGCCACAATCTCTAGTGGTTTTGTCGCTAGTAGGTGTCCTGATGGCTGTCTCATTTTGACAACTGGCATTTTCGCATGCTGACACCTCACGCAAGCCTCACAATGGCGTTTGACCTCCATTTCCATATTGGGCCAGTAACACCTCCGTCGTAATATTTTGTGCGTCCTGTCCTGACCCTGGTGTCCTGCCCTGTCATGTGCCAACCTTAGCACTTCTTCTCTTAACTGTCCAGGCACCACCACCTGACCTTGGTGTCCTGCCCTGTCATGTGCCAACCTTAGCACTTCTTCTCGTAATTGTCCCGGCACCACCACCTGGTGTATTGTGCCATCAATTTGGTCATGAATTCTCCGCATGAGAACACCATCCTTTATACTGAGACGGTTCCACTGACTCAGTATTTTCTTTGTTTCTCGACCAAATTGTTCTCTTTCCCTTCTTCCTGGGAATTTTTGTTCCTGGACGTATTTCAATAGCGGTTGTAAGCCACTATCCGTTCTCTGGGCATCTCTTATCTTTTGGTGATTAAGGCAAATAAAATCACCACTGTCCATATGTTCGGGTTCCGTGGATATGTGCTCCACCCCGGTCTGCCCGTTTTGCATCACTTGTACCCCATTAGGGATATCTGTTGACGCTCTGACCTCACATATTCCTGTCAGTGTTTCTTCCTCATCACCCGGTCTCTCGTAAGGATTCCTTGATAAGGCGTCCGCATTGCCATTGGACCGCCCCGGGCGATACTTTATCTCTAGGTCAAAGAGTGCCAATTCTGCTGCCCATCGCTGTTCGATGGATCCCAACTTTGCTGTCTTTAGGTGACTTAAG